CCCCGCGCCGCAGCCCCCCGCGCCTTCCCGGAGGTTCATCTGCTCCTTCCCCGACTGCGGCGCCAACTACAACAAGGCCTGGAAGCTCGACGCGCACCTGTGCAGGCACACGGGGGAGGTAACGGGGGGAGGCGGGGACCCCGGGCAGCCTCTGCAGTGTCGCCAGGGCGCAGGAACCCACAGGCCCCTCTGTGCGCCACGTGCGCGGCTTTGGCAACCCGGGAAGGAGCTAGGAAGTGGACAGGAAGCCCTAGAACCTTCGGGGACCGCCATGGCTTTGCCTTGGGCTCAGGACTTACCAAGCATCCCTTTCCCCTTCTTTGATCGTGAGGCCCGTCAAGCACTTTCCCCTGATCTGTAAATACATGCACAGTGTGATCCCGCCACCACCAGCCACTTGCCCAAGCACCGGCAGCTGGACTTGGTGCAGAGGCTGTGACTTGCACGTGCTGGGGACACGCTGGCAGCGTGTGATCACGTCATCCCAACGCCACACTGGAGAGAGCCGTGCACATTGACAGGCAGGGGCCCGCCAGGACCTTTTGTTCTAGCGGGCCTGGCAGACCAGGGGATTCGTGATCAGAAGGAAGGAGGCCGCGGAGGGTGGTCAAGAAAGGCCTTTGAGCTGGGTGAGAAGGAAGGATCTAGCTCGCAAGACGTTTGGGTCAGGCAGAGAAAACTGTAGGGGGTGCCTGAGGTTCCCGGTGGAGACATCCTGGGTGAGGTCTGAGAAGTAGGCTGGGGGGGAGTTTGGCTTTTAAGGGTGGTGTCATACCATGATATGAGTGGCAGTCCCTGTTTCATACAGGCAAGGAAGGTGAGGCCCAGGCCGGCGAAGCCAGGGAGTCTGCCCAGCTTCCCAGTATTTGCAGAGCCAGCCTCTACGCTGCCTCAGTTGAAGGCTTACTATCTTAAGCCCGCCTGCAGTCCCTGCCAGTTGCTCCTTGCTCCTCCCCTAACATACAGGCCACCTCCTCCCTGTGCCCTCTTGGTCCCGCCCACTGGTGACCCTCTCCAGAGCTTCCTCCTTGGAACCTTCTCTGGCTCTTTTCCTCACTGGCCCTACCAGGACTCCTCTTCTGCCCTCCGCTTTGCCACCGCCCAGCTCTTGGCCACAGTCCTGCCAGCATCTGGCCTCACTTACGACAACCTTCATGCCCAGCCTCCCTGCCCTTACTTTCACCCCTTCTCTCTCCCGGATTCTGGGCTCTGTATAACCAGTGTTCAGACCTGAGCTTGCCTTGTCTTTAGACACTTGTGTTGTATGTTGGACACTGGCACTGCCAGCTTCCTTTGTACGGGTTGGAAAACCTGGAGTCATTTGGGTTGTCCCAGTGTCACATGCAGATTCATTTGACATCCGTGGAGACAGCTCCACGGCTGCCGCTCTGCTGGGCTCTGTGGCCTCACCCTTGGTCATCCAGCTTGTGTCTCCCTAGGGACTCGCTTTGCTCCCTAGTACTCTTGTTAAGGCCTCAGCTTTCCTCATAGATAGATGCCTTGGTGGTTTGCTTTCCGTAGTCAGATACACACAACTTGTTATGGACCGGTGGTGGGGTGGGGGTGAGGGTGCGAGGGTGATGTTGGCTTTTCTTGTAGGTTCAGAATGGAGGGCCCCTCCCAACCCCTGGTCCCAGAAGGCTGCTGCAGTTAGGGCGGTGAGCTGTTTTCTCTGCTTGGCCTGGTATCCCTGGGCTTTTCCAGGTGTGACCCGTTTTCCAGCAGCTGCACCTGCATTCTCTGCGCACAGACACTGGGCTTGCCCAGCCCCAGGTGGAACCTGGTTCTTTCATCCCAGGCCTTCTTTGGATGGGTTAGGCTGGGTCATCCTGGCAGGGGCCTAGCATACAGGGCCTGAGCCAGCGTGGCGGTCTCCAAGGAGGGCTGCCGTGAAGCCTGTTGCCTTGCCTACGTATTGCAAATACTGTTCATAGAACACTGACCATGGATGTTGTGGTGTTTATGGAGTGTAACTTCATGGAGGGACACCATGTCTGACCTTGGCGTGGCAGTGCCCAACACCTTGCTGAGCAAAACCATCTCTGGCGAGGGCGTCTATAGCTTTCCAAACTAGACGCTTTAAGGTTTTAGAAAACACCATTGTTACAAGCTGACTAGCCAGGAGTGACATGCTTTTTCCTTTCTTCCCGCTAGAGATTGTTTGTTTGCAACTACGAAGGGTGTGGCAAGGCCTTCATCAGGGACTACCATCTGAGCCGCCACGGCCTGGTCCATACTGGAGAGAAGCCGTTTGTGTGAGTAGAGAGCCATCTTCGGGCCTTCCCGGTGGGTGTGTTGGGCAGACCTGGGGGGAAGGTTGACCGGTAACCACGAGGGCAGAACGGGAAGCATCCTCCCTTTCCACCCCTAAGAGAGCAGGTTTAGAACGTGCGGAGGAGTCACTCAGGAGCGGGCTCAGCTGAGCTTCTTTGGGGTCTGCGGCCTCTGCGCTCCCTTTACTGTGTACTTAAGGGAGAAGTCAGGCTGGGCAGCTCGCAGTGGGGACTCGACGGGGGTGGCTTCCTGGTGGGTACAGGAAGAGCCCCGTTGTCGTGAGCTGTGGGATGGGAGGGAAGCATGAAGAGACAGAGCTTGTGGGAGGCGGCCCGCGTGAGGCCTCTGCACCGCCACCGCCCATGGTTTCGTGTGCTGCCGATTGTTTCTGGAAGGTGGACCTGCTGCTTTCCCATCAGCCCTTGCAAGCGGTGAACCTGAGTTTAGGACGCATCAGAGCCGTCTGAAGAGCTTGTTGACACTCAGACTGCAGGGCCACCCCAGAGCCTCCGAGTCAGTAGGTGTGGGGTGGGGCCTGAGAACATGCCTTCTGGCAAGTTCCCAGCTGGTCACACTCCTCACGGTCCAAGCTGAGCTTGCCTTTCCCTTGGGTCTTGTCCCTGCTGTCTGGAGAGGTGACCTCACCGTCCAGCGACCCACAGCAAAGGGAGGCAGCTCCATCCCTGCAACAAGCAGGCCGTCAGGGCCTGTGACTTAGCCCTCAGATCCCTCCTCTGCTCTCGCGGCCTCTGCCTCATCTCAGGCCCTCACTCCTCACGGATGACTGCTGCAGCCGGGCCCTCTCCTATGGGCCCTCCCCTCCTAAGGCCAGTGGCGGCTTTAGGCAGGGCCTCCCTGGGATGTCCTGGCTCCCTGCGTGCATATACAGACTGTGTGAGTGGGCCTTTCCGGCTTATCCTGCCCATTTGCTTGATTCTCAGACATGACACTGGTCCAGCTGTACAGACTAACCAGCACCTCCCCCTAAGTGTGCCAGGGTCTTCATGCCCCTGCGTCTGCTGTGGGTTGCCCATCAAGTCTCCTCCTGGCTGTGGAGGTGAGATGCCTGTGTCAGGTTTAGGGTCAAGACAGGAAACCCAGCCCAAGAGGCTTCAGCAAGATAGGCTTATTTTCTCGTGTGGTCATATGCGACACACAGGTGGGGCTCTGGCTCCCACCGGCCTCTGCCAGCCTATGTTGGGCTTCGTCCTCATATCCCACAATGCCTGCTAGAGCCCAGCTGTCAGGTACCGTGTCCAGCTGGCAGGAAAGAGGAATGGGCTGGAGAGGTGGGCCTCTCTTTAGACACTGTGGGGGTGGGGAGGATGGCTGACTTAGCCCCATGGCCACCCCTCCTTGCAGGAGCTGGAGAGAGCTCTGTCTGTTGGCCATCTGCCAGGCCAATCCTCAGCGTCCTGTCTCTGAGGTCAGGGGGCTTCTGGCAGTCTCTGCCAGGTGTGGGCCTCTAGGCTGTGTGGCTGTGACTGCTGGTCAGTCTGTCTCTGCTTGGCCCTGGGGATAACCCAGTGCCTGATTCCGCCTTACCAGTGAGTGACGGCCAAGACTGAGGCTTGGAAAGGAAGTCCTGCTTCCTGCTCAGGCTCACAAAGACTCAACACAGAAAGCACACGATTTCTTTTAAAAAAAAATTTCCCCAAGGATTTCAGTCATTCAAGTCATGATGCCAAGTGAGGTGAGCTAGAGTGGCCTGATGAGGGGTCAGAGGGCGATGGCTCCGCCCTCAGTATGTGACCTCTAGTGATAGGTTGAGACCAGTTTTGTTGAGGCCTTTTTGGAAATGCAGTTGGTAGTGACATTTCAAGCAAAATTGTGGTTATCAGATTCTAAGCTGGGGATAATTGAACTTGAGCAAGGTGTAGGCTGTTGGGATGGTGTTTTCCCCTTCCTCCTGCCCAGCGTGTGAAGGCTGTGTGACATGGTGGGCATCATTGCGGACGCCTTGCATGAGAAAGCATCCTGTTACCAATAGCTACAGTCTGAGAAGCCTGCCTAGTGTGCTTAGTGCTCTGGAATCTGCTAAGGATTATTTCTTCGGAATAATTAGCCTTTCTAAAGTAGGAGGATAGATGCATCTTAACACTTCTCTCCCTTCAACTTGTTAATATCTTGGTTGATATACCTTCTTACAGCTGTGCAGCTAGTGGCTGTGATCAAAAATTCAACACCAAATCAAACTTGAAGAAACATTTTGAACGCAAACATGAAAACCAACAAAGACAGTATGTAGTAAGTATGATCGTTTTCTGTGCTTAAATGTTCTGAATGTTTTTACACTTAATTGCCTGTGTTTCTAAAGTTTTCAGTTGGACAGAGTGGCTCGCACCTGTAATCTCACTACTTGAGAGGCTGAGGTGGGAGGATTGCTTGAGCCCAGGAGTTCAAAGCTGCAGTGAGCTATGATTGGACCACTGCACTGCAGCCTGGGTGACAGAGGCTCTGAAAAACAAAACGTTTTCATCAGTCAAATTTTATCTGTCCAATATCTGAGTCTAATCTGACACTGGCTATTATAATCATAATTATAAGCAAACATTGTGCCAATTGCAGTGCATTACTGGGAGAATATCCTGCAGAAGCACTGTTGCTTTTCCAGGTATTCTCTGCTTCTTTAAAGCTTCTTGAGATCAAGTAGAATGTTACAGTAATTAAATGGGTGAAAGTAGCAATTATATGTATATTCTCCAAAATATACATATCTTGATTTTCAGAGAATTCTGGTATTAACTGTAAGGTTTTTAATTTTTCTTAAGACTAACGAACCTTTACTGACAGTGCACTTTTGAAGGCTGTACGAAGACCTTCAGGAAACACCAGCAGCTGAAGGTGCATCAGTGCCAGCACACCCACGAGCCGCTGTTCAGGTAGGCATCGCTTGGCTTCCAGATGTGCGTGGGAGGCACGGGCAGGAACAGCTTTCTGAATCCGTTCCCAGGCAACAGCTGTCTGTTCCGGTGTATTGTGCATGCACCGTGTTATTGGGAGGGCGTGTTTGAAATGTTAAAGTTTGCCTTTATTGCTTTATGTAATGTGTTTTGGAGTCATTTGTGAAATTATTGTAGTTGTGGTTAAGGTTGACGGGAAAGCTGGGAAATAACTTCTCAGTAGAGCTTGTTCAGGTAGATGAAGTGTCATCATGAAGACATGGCTGTTTTCCTGTAGAAGAACACAGGGAGAGAAGGCATGGGAGATGGCTTGACTCGGAACAGACCTGGCCATGGCAGCCAGCGCTTCCCCAGTGTGCACCAGCCCCCTGCGCCTCGGATGCTATAGTGACGGAGCCTGTCCTTGCTTTAGCATGGGAGGAGGGGCCCCTGCTTTGTATTGGCCACCCAAGGCTGACGCGTCTGCTGTGTTCCCCTCACGCCCCCCCGGGCAGCAGCACGGGGAGGGGTAGGCGCAGCCATCTGGAGTGGCCTAGGTGTCACCTCACCGTGTCAGTTAGCCTCTCCGAGGATCTCGTGATTATGAAAACAAGAGTGTATTTCCAGAGGTGTCAAGGTGCAGACGGTGTTTAATTTGGTCGTATAAGCAAAAAAAGTAGTTTCCTCAAGACTCGCCTCTCCTGTGGTCAGGGCTACATGAGACAGGTTTGGTTGTGGGAAGAGGTGGAACTTTGGTGGAGAGCGAGAGGACCAAGCATCATTGACTCCGTTGAGCTCTCTCTGAAGATGGATCTGCTGACACGTCTGTGTTGCTCTTGCAGGTGTGCCCAGGAAGGCTGTGGGAAGCACTTTGCTTCACCCAACAGTCTGAAGCGACACAGGAAGGTCCATGAGGGTGTGTATGGGGCCCTGGGTGTGTGCCCTGAGGGTCATGCATGCCAACTACTCGGTGCCTTCTATCTAGTCTGTCCCGTGGTCATGCCGAGAAGACGGGAACTCCAGGCAGGAGGCAGCTTTCTGAGTATTTGGGCCTTCCCTCTTGTCCAGTGAGGCACCGTCTGTGTCTGCTCCTCCCCCTGTGTCACTCCTGCTCACACTTACTGTCATGCTGTTCACAGGTGCCTGTTTATGCTCGTCTTCATGAGTGTATTTGTGCTCCAGCCCAGTGCGGGTTCTTCACGTTTCTCGCCTGTTTCCAGCCTGTGCCATTCTTTCCTAAAGACATTCACTAGGCTTGGGTGATCGCCTGACATTTTCACGGCCGTCAGATGTCAAGCTCAAAAAAAAAAAAAAAACGAGTTGATTACATTAACTATTTGAATCTTTCACCTGATTCCATGAGGGATTTTTGGTATCTGTGTTTCCGTTTCCTGGGTTCCAGAATTTGTATTTTTTCAAAACAAGAGCTTAGCAGCTGAGATGAGAGGGAGCTCCGCTTTTTCGAGTTCCCAGTTGGGTGAAACGCAATCTGCCTGTTAAACTGACTGAGTAGTCTGGTGTTTGTGCTTTGCATGTGTCTGTTTATGTCTGGTGTTTTTCTCTGGGTTCTTCTCGTTTGTTTTCCTCCTTGGCCATCCCCTGCTTTGGTTTATATGGCAACCCAGAGGCAGCTGGGGTGGGCATTGTGACTGCGAGAGTCAGTGTTGTTGGCTAGCCAGGGACAAAGGATCATGGCACATATTTGCTGAGGTCACCAGAGGCAGCACAGAGCAGGCAGGGACAGGAAGGGAGACACACAGATGTGGGTGGGGCAGGAGCAGAGCAGCACCTTGGCTTCCTGAGAACCAAGCGGGGCATCCGGGGAGGTTCAAGGCAAGCCCCAGTGGGAAGCACCCTCCTGCGAGCGTTGGGTCTTATTGCCACCTGTGGTGAGTTCATAAAGCAGATCTGGCTCCAGAAATTCTGCCTCAGCGGGCTGGGCCTGGGCCTCATGGAGCAAGGGTTCAAGGCCACTGGACCAAGGCTGCCTTCAGGGGTGGTCTAGTTCTCTAGCTTGGAAAGTGAAGTAGATACTCCACAGACTTACCCCGGGACTGTACACTGACATGCACTTTCTAGAAGACAGTCTGTGTGGTGCTGTGTCAGCACAGAGGGGAAAAGGACTTAAACGATGAAATTCCTTTAAATAGGAATTAAAGGGTAGATATGCTACAAATTGTAAAATGTATATAGCCTTTAAATGATAAAATGTTTTCATATGGCAAGATATGCTACAGTGGAAAATGTACATAGAATATGCTTATGTTTTGAGAAACAAACTTGGAAAGTTATAACTGGGTCATGAACTGGGTCTTATTGCAGCGTAAGGCCACCTCTAGAGGCAAAGAGGGGAGTCCTTGTGGGAGACGGGAGAAACTCGAGCGGCACGTGGGATTCCTTCTGGTGAAGGCCAGTGTGTGTGCTGCATGGTCCTGACTGGCAGTGCACCCATCTTTTTTTTTCTTTCTCATAGGCTATATATGTCAAAAAGGGTGTTCCTTTGTGGCGAAAATGTGGACAGAACTTCTGAAACATATGAGAGAAGCCCACAAAGGTAGG